GTTCCATCCTGGGTAGCTCCTGGTACCAACCTGGCCTTTTTATTCAAAAACAGGCTCGTGAGCCCCATTACAAGAAAGCTGGATGGAGGACAAGAGCAACAACATGTAGTGACAGCTCCGGGCTCTTGATGTTGTCCTGAAGACTCTTTCCCCCGTGTTGCTTGGGCTGTGAGGTTGCAGGGGATTTGAACAGGCACCTTGGCAATGTTTTGGGTTTGGTGGAGGGTGGGTTGCTGAGACCTGCCACTTCCTTCATATTTCTGGTGCTGTTTCTGTGCTGGTTTGAAAGGACAGGGGGCAGGCGTAGGGGAAGGGTGTGGTGAAAATTGTGCCAAGTCACTTGGCTCTACACTCATCTGCTTAAATATCTGTTCTGCTTCCTCACCTAGTTTTCAGGCAATGCTTTTGGGTTGCTGTTAAACACCAGCCTCCCAGGTTGGGCCCTTAGTCATTGTTCCTCTTGTAAAAACATTTGTAGCTGAATGCTCCATGTTTTCCTTTGGGGTAGGTATTTTAAATGAGGGGTTTCTTGGGAGTGTGTTGATCTAAATAGATGGAGACGTTTCCCTTTCTGTCCTGAACTTCTGTAGCTGGAAGAAACAGCTCTGCAATCTGTAGAGGAAAAGAAAATAAAGAAAATCTATTTTGCTGCTTTAAAGGAGCCAGGTTGAACCACCATGCAGCTCTTCTGAAGGTTTCTGTGGCCAGTCTGAGGTTCCAGGTATTGGCACTTTGGCATCGGGGTTTTCCACGAGCCAGAGACACTGGGGTGGGTTTTTGTCTTTGGCTCTCAGCTACTTGCTGGAAAATACACCAGTGCTTTTATGGATGAGTGATTTGGTTCTGCAGTGTGATTGAAAGTCAGGGTTTGTTTTTATGGCTGTGTGGTGGAAATGGATTTTTTTCAGTGTAGGGTCCAGCGTTCATTCGTGAAGGGGAAAGTTACGGTGCCTCTTCTGCTCTGTCCTTCCGTGGTAAAATGCAGTCACTAATCTGCCCTCCTTTCTTGAGGTCTGTGCTGGAAGCTGGGGGATTTCCTCCCCTATCACATCCCTCTTGAAGTTACAGCTTTGTTCTGGCCACAGGCTCCTGATTTCGTGGATTCAGTTTGAGTTCCTTTAAACAAGTTTCCATCCTGTGTCTCCACCCGCCCAAACTTCAAACACTCCATAAAGCTTTGGATCACTCTTAGCTTAAATATTTTCTTTTATTCTTGCATTTGTAAAATGGGTCAGTCTTAAGTGTGACTTTTTTTTTGTATAAAGCAGCTTTTTCCAGGAGTTCTGTGGTTGATGAGTAACAGGTATAAATCTCCAGTGTTTGATCCTGACATTAACACTAGAAGTGGTTTTGGGTGAAAAGCTGTTCTGAATTTTGTGAAGGGGATGAATGGTCACGTTGGGCCTTTTAGTCACCTTTGTGGGCAGCTTCATAAAAAGCAGTTTTACTGGGGATGGAATAACACTGAGAGGACAGGGATACCATTGGAATAATGTTCTTTTAAAGTCCCTCCCAACCCAAACCATTCTGTGATGTCCCTTGGTGTTGTTTGGGTTGTTAATAAAGGGAGGTGACAACCATGGGATGTTTTTTGCTTTGTTTTGTAACAAACTTTTGTCTAGTTTGTTACATCCTGGAGAGATCCATGTCCTTAAGCAGAGGAGTGATTGCTTTGCTTTGAATTGCTGTCCTTTGGAAATGATTTATCCTCTGGGGATGTTTCTGAGGTACCCCTGTATGAATTGGAGTTCTCCTCCTACTTCAGACCCCTTGTGCATCTCAAGGGCATCTGCTGATTGGGTTGTGCTGGGCCTTGGGTGCTCAGGGAGACAACTCAAGCTTCTAAAGAACACAGATCACCTTTATGACCTCTGTTGTGTTGAAGGATAACATACCAGGAGTGGGGGGATGCAGAACAGGGGGGTCAAAGAAAACAATGCTTGATCCAGGAGCTGTGAAGAGCTTTCAAAGGGTTTTGCTGCAGCTCCTGCAGGTAACTTAGATGGGCCTGTGCTCTGCTTTGCCTCATCCATTTCTTTAACAGGGAAGACAGAGCAGCTCATGCCTCCCAGGACCCTTTTCCAAGCTGGTTACCTCTCCTGCTTGGATTCTAATAAGCAGAAGGGTTTCTTGGAGGTAATCCAGCCTGCTTACAGCAAATCCAAGTTCATGAATGTAGATTTAAATTCCTACCAATCTGTCTGTCATCTAGTTTTCTGTTATGTAGCAGCCAATTAACCTGTAGCACTTCTTTATGTTCCTTGAAGAAAACAGGTTTCCAGCAAAGTTCCCCTCTCCAAACACGACTTTTGGGGGTTTAGACAGACTCCAGAAATCCCCCTTCAGCACGTTTTAGGTGCTGCGTGAGGAAAGGTGAAATCTAATGATCTATATTTTCTCCCCATGAGGGAGGAGTGAATTTTGGAAGTGATTCTATCTCGCTGAAGCTCAGAGGAGGCTTTGGCTGATACACCTCCCGGCGTGCCTTGGATTCATCCTGCCTCAGTCACTGGCGTTGTTTGAGTCTCAAGACACTGGATCTGGCTATGGCAAGGCAACTTGATTGAAATAGCATGTTGGTATTTAAAACAATATTAATACTATATTTGATTCATTAAATATACAAAGGCAAGTTAAAGCGTTTCCATGTGTGCACTGTTAGTGCTGGCGGGAGGTTCTTCAGATGGTTTAATGTGGTTTCAGACAACATTTTAGCACATTCTTAAAATACCCACAAAAGCCTTTATGTAAAATCTCATAAAGGTGAACCACATAAAAATAATTTCTTTTTTTTTTTTCCCCCCCTGTTTCATGTCATTAGGATCAAAGTACAGTAGGTAAGAATAAATCTCCAAAACCCTTGTTTTGGTCCCTCTCTTAATTAACGTTTCATGCTCGTAGCAAGCTCGTAAAGTGGGTAATGGGGAAACTGTCTGTACACCCTGTAATGTTCTCAGTGGCTGCCAGCTCATTTTTAGTGAATCCACTTATTCTATACACAAATATATTTTAAGCAAACTTGGTCTGGAAAGGGCCAAGAGCTTTGGCTCTCTGGCCTTTGACTGGTGCTGCCCTTTTGCCAAGGGAAGGGTCACTTAGGCTGGGACCCAGTTTCACTGCAGGACTGAAATTCCCATTAATCAAAATCCATTTGTGAATTCCCCAGGGGATGTAAAAAGGGGGTTTGTTGGTTTGTTAGGTTGAAATTGCCTGCTGGAAGTCTGGCTGTAGTGTGCCTGTGGAGCAAAGGGCTTTCCTTTTTCTAATGGTGTATTGTCGGCGGCTTGACAGATGTCACAGGCCAGGGGCTGGTTACTTAAACGCTCAGGCTGAGCTTGGGAGGCACCTGCTGAGATGAAAATGCTGTGGTGAATTCACATCGAGTCATCTGCCCCTCCTGGGGTCCTGGTTTGACACTGACTCAGATGCTTTTAGGCTCTTCTGGTGACTCTTGAAACAACGTCCTGCACATGCAGAGCAAAAGCTGAAAGTTGCCTTTTGTTTGCATTAACTTCCCAATGCCTTCTCCAGACTTAGAGAAAAGGATGGGTTAGTCTTCTGGAATCTCCAATACTTCAAGCTAATACCTGAAGTCTGAAATGTGCAGTAAATCAAATCCCCAGTGCCATTCTCAGCTGCCAGGCTGTGTTCAGAGAGGAGGGGAGCACAGGGTGGGGGGCTCAGCAGGTCGCTCGTGTCGGTGCTGGGCGACGCTTTCCTTCTGGCAGGGGAGGAGGAACATGCAGTCACCTGCAGACCTCTCTGCTCCTCTCCCTCCCCACAGTAAGAGGCAGGGATGTAGAATGGTTTCATCTCTGGCTCTTCCCCAGGTTGGCTGCTGGAAACTCAGTTCCAGCAGCTCCTCGTGGCTTTGGGTGAGGAGTTTGTGCTCTCCTCCAGACCGTGAGCACTCCAGTGCTCTGTCTGCTTTGTATGTTCTTGCAGAGGGGTGGTAGGTGCCCAGGAGAGAGTAGCAATGTCTGGCTGCTGAAATGCCTTCTCATGGATCTCCTGGCCCAGCTGAAGTTGCCTCTCCCCCTTTCCTGAGTTCTTTGCAGGAGATGGTGGTGCTGTGCAGCATGAGTTCTCACCAGGATCTGGGAGCTGTGCTCCATGAAAGAGTCTTGTTCCCTTTTGCTCACTTCTCCTGAGGGCTCTTGGCTTTGAAACAGTTGGTGAAAAGCTGTGGGTTATAGTTTTGGTTTTCTAGAAGCCAAAATGGGATCTTGTGCATCTTTCTTCCTCCCTTGTTGGGTTGTTTACCATTACCTTCCAGCACATCTCTGTGCTTTAGCACAGGATGAAGTTGGGTTCTGTGGGTGTCAGTGCCTTGATAGTTTGCCAGGAGCGTACTCTTCACTACCAGAAACCTGAGATTTGGGTAATCCAGCCTCCTCTCTGTTGTGCACCACCTCTAAAGATGGAATATTATGGAAATCTCAATGGCATCCCATTGTTTTGAAGAACCTTGGTCTCAGTTCAACTCCATTTGCAAAAAGCCAATAAGTTGCCTTCACACAAACTTCTGAGACAGCAGCATAAGGCTCCTTATTTGCTCCTCTTTGTCTTAATCATCAGACTTTCCTGTAAAAAACTTCCAGACTTTCCCAACAGTGACAGAAAAGGGGAAGAAAACCCAGACCAAACTGTAAAATAAAGCCTTACTCTCAGCCTGCTTTGGAGCTTGTGCCTTTCCCAGCTGTTACAGTTAATTGGAATCAGAGGAATTGTTTGCTCAAGCACTGCAGAAATCTGTAGCTGGCTCTGTTTCTCACTAAACTTTTATTCTCCTTTAGAGAAATGTACAGGTTTTTTGTCATTAAAGTCTCTGTATTGTAAAATGATTTAAAGTGCTGTGTTTCTAGGTGTATAACTGTGTCCAGCCTAAAAAGAAAAGAACAAAGTCTTCACTAGGATAGAGAGATTTTGCTTCTTTAAGATGCTTATTGATATCTGACTCCTGCTTGCTTTTAACATGCCTATTGGATTGCATCCTGCAGGTATTTTGAAGGTGGAGTCTCCTCTGTCTACCTCTGGGATCTGGATCATGGGTTTGCTGGGGTGATCCTCATTAAGAAAGCTGGAGATGGATCAAAGAAGATTAAGGGATGCTGGGATTCCATCCACGTGGTGGAGGTTCAGGTACAGCCTCTGGGGCAGCTGATAGACCTGAGTGAAAACAACCCCCAGTTAATTCCAGACAATTAGGGAGTGCAGGTGTTCCACTGAACAATGCAATGTTGTGTCAGGGGCTGGAAACTGCTTTCCCCTCTTAATTTTGGAAAATTCCCTGGAGCAATTTGGATAGAGATAAGTCAGGGCTGTAATCAAAAAGAATCCCAGAAGAATTGGAAGTATGTTACTTTCTGCACATGTGATCCTGAGATTTCCTTTTTAACATAAAGGTCTACAGATAAATATCACTAATTAAGTCATAAAATCAAGGTAATAGGAGGCTAAATTGCTCTAACTAGATTTGCTTTGGAAAACGAGGGGCATGTGCACATGGGCAGTTGTTCCTGCAGCCTGTGCTGTGTGAGTGGGGTTATCTGAATCCATCCTGTTGCTTTGTGGGGTCTCTTGGGCCAGCCATTGTGTAATTTTTGGAGGCATTTTAACCTCTCTGTCTCTCTCCCTTTTTGTTATCTCCTCTAGGAGAAGTCCAGTGGTCGTACTGCTCATTACAAGCTGACCTCCACAGTGATGCTGTGGCTGCAGACTAATAAAACTGGTTCTGGTACCATGAACCTTGGAGGGAGCCTCACCAGACAGGTAGGTCTGTGCATCAGCACGAGCGTGTGCTGCAGACCCAAGGAAGACTTTCCTCATTTATAGACCCAGGAGCCCCAGTCAGGCACAAGAAGTTGGCTTTGTGAGGAGTTGGATAAACATCTCTTCCCCTGCTGGGTGTGCAGCCCAGGGGAATGGTTAATGCAGCAGTGTGCAGGTACCAGGAAGCCCCTTGGACTTTGCTTGGTGGCATTATGGCTTTCAGTTAAAGACAGAAAACATTCAGCAGG